GTTTTGGGGGGTTTTCTTTTCTTACCCGTGGGGATAATTTGCTTTCTTGGAAAGGCCCCACTTAGGAATTAGAGACGTCTCTCATTGCTCTGGATTTTAGTTGGAGAAGTGTTGTTCTGGTGTTCTCCTCTGCCATAATACCACTCTTCCAACTTTGTAAATAAAGAGCTATTCACATCGCAGAAGGTAGTGAGAATAAAAGGGATTCTCTTCTTGCAAACAGCTCTTCCCAGAGACAGAAAGCATAAAAATATTGGGGGCAATGAGCTGAATTTTCTATTTAAGAAGGGAAGAACATGAGGGAAAAGAAACCCATACCCAGCAAAACTCAAGCCTGCACCAGGGCTTTGCTTGGAGGGAATGACACTGATTCCCTTCAGTGCTTTTTGGAAAAAATACTAACTGATCCTAAAAGGAGAGCTAGTAGCATCTATGACAGAGTGTGGGGCCTTGATCAGACACCACAGGGGAAAAGAAACAAATGCATGCTTACTACTTAGCACGCAGATATTTTTTTTTCTGACTACACCAACTATGGGAAAATATTTCGCGAAGTGCTCCCTTCCTCCACCCCCTCCCCGGCTCACTTATCTGGACAGATGGTATTTTACTTGGGTGTGCTTCCTAAGCCAGGAAACTTCACCACATTTTTGCTAGCAGGCCCCTTGAAAAATAAAATTACGTATTAAGTAGTTTGCAGTTTGCCTAGCTGTGCTCTCGTTTTAGGTCATAGCTGGAGGGTAGGGATGGGATCTTCCAGGTTTTGCGGTATTTTAAGCTGTGGCAAAAGTGTAACATTCTCAGCTGAGCTGCTGCTGAACACGTTCGGTGCGTTTAGAGAGGTCACTTTTGTCTTCATCGGTGAGGGCACAGGGGACGTGGTTCGGGCATTGCAATTTCAAAATATAAAAAAAMCCCGAACAGACAAAAAACAACAGCTAACTCACCACCAAACCTAGCTTTTTTATTTCGAAATGTGGTTCTCCACTGCTCTGCCCAGAGCATTACTGCGAGACTGCAGAGTGTGGCTGTGTCCGCGTGTCTGTGTCTGTGTGTCCGTGCATTAAAAAAAAAAAAAAAAAAATACTTGTTGATTACAGCTCTTCTTTCCCTCTCTCCCCCACCCCCTCCCGTTTCTTTGTGTGCCACTGCCCGGTAGGCACCCGTTGTTCCCCCTCTTAGCTCTGGTCTTTGAGAAGTGCGAGCTGGCGACCTGCACGCCCCGGGAGCCCGGCGTGGCCGGCGGGGACGTCTGCTCCTCCGACTCCTTCAACGAGGACATCGCCGTCTTCGCTAAACAGGTCCGGCACCTCTCCCCCCGCCCCCGACCCTCCCCAGCGCTCCCGCCGCCTCCTCAGCGCCTGGACCCGCACGGCCGGGTGCTGGCAGGGGCAGCCTCCCTCCCCTGCCCGGCGCCCCCTCTCCGGCTGGGCGGGGGGCGCGCTGGAGGCCCGGCTGGCCCTGACCCCCCTCCGCCGGCAGCCCCTCCRCGCTGGGACTCCCGGCACTTGCCCTCCTGCGTTAGCGGTAGGGAAAGGTAGCCGTGGCCGAGTTTTGGAGGAAGAGGGGGAGGGAGGCAGGCAGGGGACCCAAAGGAGAAGGCTCCCGTTGCACCGGCGGCCGGCTCGGTGCCGGGCCGGCAGGAGCGGAGCGGGCTCCTGTCCACAGTTCCGACCCAGGCCGCTCAGCCGGACTTTGGCACCGGCCGGTTTTGTTATAGGAATTTTTCCCCTTTGGGTGATAAGATTGCGGGGCTAAAGACCGAAGCTATAGTTCATGCCGCTTTTCCTTCTTCTTGCAGGTCCGCGCCGAAAAACCGCTTTTTTCTTCAAATCCAGAATTGGACAATTTGGTAAGGCCTGGTCTCTCTTCCACCCCACTCCTCTCTCGCCCTTCCCGACCCCTCCGCCAGCTGCCGGCAAGCGCCCTCCTCCGTCCCAGGACCGGGCCGAGCGGTGCGGCGGGGCAGCGGCTGCCGCTCCGGGCACCGGGCTGCGCCGGCATGGGACCGGGGCGCCGGCCGGTCGGCAAGTTGCCGTCAAGGGGCTTCAAAGAGCTTCACCCGTAGAGCCAGTCAGAGAAAGGTCTCAAGCCCCAGTGCATTGCAAAGCTGCGTTTGAAAGCCACGGGAAGCTTAAGTGAAGGAAGTAACTGCTTAAGAAGAGAGAGCTGGAGATTTTTAATGKAATTCTTTTGCTAATGTGAACGATTTCAATATTCAAAGTGCCTAAATCCGCTTGTAAAGAAGATGACAAACTATTCAAACACACATTCACCCCCCCCCCCTCCCCCCCTTCTCCTGCGGGAGAGGAAGGGGGTGGGAGCGTGTGTTTGACTTCTCTGCGGACCCTCAGGGGTGAGGGCCGGGGTGCTGAGAAGGGAAAGAGAAGGAGAGGAAGAGGTTTTCTTCAAGATCGGGGTAATAAAGCTCTAATCACCGCTCCTGGAATAAATATGATAAAAAAATCAAGTGCTTAGGTTAAAGTTGATCAAAATTGTTGAAGCGTGACCAATGAGCTAAAATCCTGGATAATGACCGCGCGCCCTGACAATCCCCTTCTCCCCCTTTCCCACCCGGGCTCGCGGCTCTGCTCAGCCCCCGTGCTCCTGTCTCCCACGTAACCCCTTGCTCAAAACTTTCTTGCAGATGATCCAAGCAATACAAGTACTAAGGTTCCATCTTTTGGAATTAGAAAAGGTAAGAGCCACGGAGGTGGGTGGGGGGCACKCATTTCCCTCCCTGCCCTCTCTCCCCCTCTCCTCTTCCCCCCCGCTCCCCGGCTCCCTTCCTCCCGACTGTTTGGGCTGACTTGTAAACATGGCCAGAGAAGATAGGGGTAATGCAGTGTGACACTGTAACCTGTGCCATCAGAGCATGTGACGCCCGACAGGCATGCCCAGCCGGGTTTCCTCTC